TGGGGGGACACAATTCTCACTGTTGCCTACCTCATCAACCGTCTCCCAACTCAAGTGTTACACAACAAATCTCCTTTCCAGATTTTATTAGGTTTTGAGTCTGTGTTCTCTATTCCCCCCAAAATCTTTGTCTGTGTCTATTTTGTCTACAATTGTACTTCTCGCGGTAAATTTGATCCCCGCTCTCTCAATGTGTCTTTCTGGGTTACTCTTGTACTCAAAAGGGTTATAAGTGTTAACCATCCTCTATCTCGTAAGTGGTTTGTATCTATGGATATCACATTCTTTGAGTCACAGTCTTATTTCTAGTCACAATCCTCCTTGGGTCCCAATCCTTCCTCCAGGAGGAGCCTTAGTTTGAAGGGATTCCTGGGTTTGTTTTGCACCAGTGGCTAAGATGAATTCATTCAGAGGACTTCTCTCTCTGGCAACTAATCTGGATTGGCCACTTCATGAGTTTGATGTAAAAAAATATTTTTTTACATGGTGATCTAGAAGAAGAGGTATATATGGATATCCTTCCTGGCTTTGATGACCATCAAACAAAAAGCTTGGTTTGAGAGATTCACTCAGGCTATACTCAAATATGGCTTCAAATAGAGTCAAGCTGATCACACTTTGTTTGTGAATCATTCCTCACATGCTATGAAGCACGGACACCTCTCTGAAGGGAGTGTATGAGTGTTCGACACGTGTCAGACACTGACACACACCGGACAAGCGTTGGACACGTGTCAAACACTATGGGAAGTGTCCTAATTTTTTTCGAATTTTTTGCAATCGAACACGTTTGAGACACTTAGAGGCATGTTTTAGACATTTACGGGGTACAAAATGTAATTTCAAAACTTGTAAATGGGGTAAAATGTGTAAAAACACAAAAGTTTGCTTTCCTAAACTAAACCCTAACGTCAACAAAGTGAAAGAGAAGAGATAGAGAAGAGAAACGAGGGCGAAGAAAAACCTCAACCAGTTGAAGCTCAAGAGAGTAAAGAACCAGTAGATCGATCTAGGGCTTTAAGGTATGTCCCTCGTTCTTCTTCTTTTCTTCTTCGCTTCTTTTTTCTTCTTCTTTCTTCAGTTCGTATTAAAATACCTTTTTTTTTTAATAACAAAAACCCTTCTTTTTTCATTTATATGCTCATTTTTTTTTCCCTCTTTTTATTTTTTCTATTTTTTTGGGTATTCTTGTTTGCTTAACCTGAACATAAATAGTACTAATTATTTTTATTTGTTGAATGATCTTTTTTTCAATTTTAAACATATAATAAACAAATAAAATTATATATATTGAACGTGTTCCCAACGTGTCGTGTCCCCTGTTTTTTGAAAATTTGAATGTCCACATGTCCGCATCGTGTCTCATGTCCGTATCTGTGTCCGTGCTACGTAGCTCACATGGTAAGACTATGACTCTTATTGTTTATGTGGATGACAGTGCTTATAGGAGATGATAGAGAGCAAATACCCCAGTTAAAAAAATATTTGGCAACCGAGTTTGAAATAAAAAACTTAGGGAATCTCAAGTATTTCCTAAGTATTGAGATTGCCCGGTTTACGGATGGAATTTTCATCTGTCAGAGAAAATATGTTATTAGACCTGCTGAAACTTGAAAGAAGCCGAGATGCTTGAGAGTAAAGCTTGTGATACACCACTGGAGCCAAACCAGAAACTTAGTGATGATAGTATGGGAGCTATTGTTGACAGGGAGAGTTATCAGAGACTAGTGGGTAAGCTCATTTGCTCATCCCATTCTCGTCCTGACATTACCATGGCAGTTAGTGTGGTTAGCCAATTCATGTATGCTCCTCATGAGACACACTTGGCTGCAATAATGGGCATCCTTAAATACTTAAAATCTTCTCCAGAAAAGGGCCTCTATTTTTCAAAACATGACTATCTTCTGGGTGGAAGCTTATACAGATGTTGATTGGGCAAGATCAGTACCTGACAGAAGGTCCATATCTGATTATTGTACCTTTGTTGGAGGTAATTTGGTTACTTGGAAGAGCATGAAACATAATGTAATCACCCGGTCTAGTGCAAAGGCCGAGTGTAGACCAATGTCACAAGGTATATGTGAACTCTTGTGGATCAAGTTACTACTACCAAGTGATATGGGGATTAGTCATATACTAATTCCATGCGACTGTACTGTGACAATAAGGCTACTATTAACAATCCAGTTCAGCATGACCGAACGAAACATGTGGAGATTGATCGCCACTTCATTAAGGAGAAACTCACCAATGGCACTATATGTACTCCTTTTGTCAAGTCAGTTGAACAACTAGCATACATTCTCACCAAGGGAATTGGAAGCAAACCATTCCATAATGTGAGAGACATCGTCGCACTAGCTTGAGGGCGAGTGTGAGAATAATATCTTTGGTTATTGTGTATTGATTATTCTATTAGTTGTTATTTCCTAATTCTGTTATTTCCTTTGTGCCTCCAAGGCTTCCATCGTAAGCTATCTATTATCAATATAAAAGGGGATGATTGTCTAATCATTCCCTAAGTTTTGCTCCCTCTTAACAAACAATTACTCTCCACATTTTCAAAACTAGCATAAAGGGACTTGTAAACGCTATATGATGAGAACGTTTACAATAAATGATGTCACAATTGTCAACAGGAGAAACTAGTGGTGCGAAAAGTAGGTAGAAGCTCGCAAATCTCAAATTATCTAATCCTTTCCTCAATTTGTTCTCCATTTTGTTTCAAATGTTTCCTCTCTCCTCACTCCCCTCTCTAAATTTGTACTACCTATCACATACCTCATTGTACCAAAATCCAAATAAAGCAAACACTTCGTTAACCTACATATCCTACTACTTCTTTGATCAGGAACAAAGAAATTTTACAAAAAATAACAAAAGAAAGCTTACAAGAAGAGGAGGACAAGATGTCCACCAGAAAAACAAAAAGTACAGGGGAAAAAAAAGATTACATATCACACACTGCCCTTCAGTTCCTATTAATAGAAGGGGAGACTGAAACCCAACATGATGATATATGACAAATCTGATCCCATATCACCTTTAAATACTCAAATTTATCTTCAAAAATCTTTGCAATCTTTTCAAACCAAATCTCCCAAAATATAGCGAAGGTGACACAATCCCATATAACTTGAGCTTTCTTATTGATAACAAATCCCCAAAATCAAGCAGAAGCATCTGAACAGAAACGGAGGAGCCACCAAATCCATATTCACCATATAAAACAGTTTGCGCCACCATGAAAATTCCACGGGACAATGTCAAAAGAAAAAATGTTCAATAGTTTCTTTTTCTATTCTATGCAAAATATACCACTGTAAAGCAAAGAGTAAATGAGTCTCCTTTTTTTTAAACAAATCATCAGTATTAATCTTCTTATGAGCCACAGACCATAGAGAAACTTCTTTAAAGGGCACACAAGCATTCCAAATCATTTTCTAAGGCGCAAACAGAAGAACATTATGCTTGTCAATTGACTCATGAAAGAATGATTTTTAAAACCGATGTATGAATCAACCACACACTTCTATACACGGCATCATGCCTCAAAGAACATTGTGAATAACAATAATGCCAAATCATTAGCCTCCTTGTCATTTAAATTTCTGAAAATAAATGGAATTCCAAGAAATGGGAGCCTCGTAGGAACAAGCAAGAGAAGCAATAGAAGAACTAAGAGAGCGACACAAGCGATATAGGTGCAGAAAAAAATAATCAAAAGAAAACAGAAGAACATTATGCTTGTCAATTGACTCATGAAAGAATGATTTTTAAAACCGATGTATGAATCAACCACACACTTCTATACACGGCATCATGCCTCAAAGAACATTGTGAATAACAATAATGCCAAATCATTAGCCTCCTTGTCATTTAAATTTCTGAAAATAAATGGAATTCCAAGAAATGGGAGCCTTGTAGGAACAAGCAAGAGAAGCAATAGAAGAACTAAGAGAGACAAATGAAATGTGAAAAATGATCCCCAAGATATGCATTTTCATAGAGCTCTAGAATTTCCTCAAAAAGCCACTTAAAAATCCCAACTATTGGGTTGGATCCCACACTTTCTTTCAATCATGTAATGCCATAACGAATCTATCCTTCTAAAACAGTTCTTACTTGGTCTTATCATATTGCAGAATGTCCTTTTTTCCCAGGACAACTCGCATCCTCACACTTCCTACATCAGTAACACCTTACCAAAATTTGAACTCAACAATGCATTTCCAAATGGAAATACAAATTGAACTCAACAATAATATCCAATGAATAACAAGTTTGTGAGACAATTTATATATATATATATGTAGTATACGAAAATTTAAATAATTAAGTTTTCCAGCAGATAAAGAGCTAATTGGGTGATGCACCATACATTAAATGAATAGCACTCGCTTAAGTGATACAAGTCACAATGCATATGCCTTCAAATGAAGAGCAGCAAAAGGAAACTAAACTTAAAACTTCAAAATGCCCAACTTGACAACTTTGTAAAAATACCGAAAGGTGCTCATTTTTTGCATGCACCATCTAAAAGGAAATTTTGCATTTCAATATATTTATTTATTTATTTTGATTGGCACCGGGGTGTCCGGATCAAAGCCCAAATAATTCCCAAGGGTGCATAGGCCATCGGCAAGGAGTTTCCCGCAAGTGCACCACGATTAATTCAAGGGTTTTCCCCCAATCCGATGGCCCTAAGGAATTGTTAGCACCTAAGAGGTTTCGATCCCTGAACCTTAGAGGGAGCACACCCCCAAGCCCTTGCTACCAGGCCAACCCCTTGGGGTTTTTGCATTTCAATTTATGCTTTCACTGTACAAGCAATAATTCTGTTCCTACAACCCTTGTATGCCTCAAAGTCAAGTTGACTCATTGTAAGCACAAAGGTAAACTTTAATATCAATCTATCAATTTCTTGATGTCTCCTACTACTACTATAATTATTAGACAAGTTGGGAGAAAAAAAAAACTAAAATCCAATGTAAACTTACCCGTAACTGACATTCTGTGGTATAGACATTTTCTCAATCATTGTCTGTTGCTTCGCTCTTTCCTGCGCTTCAAATACCTAATCATAAGATGCAAGAACCCAAAACAAAGGGCATCAATTTCAATGGGAAGCATAAAGCTAAAACCTTTCTAGTTACTACTTTTAGAATTAATTCTACGATATTCATGTAAGAAACGGTCCTTTACTATATCTAACATCTTGACAAATTAAAAGAAAAGTAGCGACTAGAATGTGAAAACTACGAACACAATGAGTTGACACTCAAGATCATCACTTCTAACATTGAAAGTAAGTTATTCGGTGCCCTGCAATTGCTAAATAGAAATAACCACCAAAACTAATCATTAACTAGAGCCAGGAGACACGACCATAAAAGCTCAGTTTACAACTCCACAAATTTAACTACTATTCAATTCCCACATAATGTATGATTCAGGGATCAACTAATGTTCCAGTATAGCAGTAGCTGCAGTACCAGAAATTTGATTAGCATCACATTAGCATGCACAAAGTGTTGACAAATTTAAATTTTAAAATCAAATCTATGAAAAGAAGAGGCAGTTCTCCATCTCAATAAATAACAATTGAACCTAGACTACATTTTCAAAGGATAAACAGTGAAGGATTCACCATAAGATTTGAAAATATGCTTACTTTTATAACAAAACAATCAAAATTATCATTGTTACTTGAAAGTGAATATAAAAATACAGAAATTAAAGCAATACGTATACTGCATGCGTAAGCAGAGTGATGAACAATAAATATAAATATAGCAAACTGAGCTAAAGAGAATTAACAGAGAAAAGATGATGAAAAAAAATGAAATTATCTTACCTTGAGATTAAACTGAAAGGGTTCATTCCCAAAGTTGACATGGACCCTACAGCATCAAAATCAAACATACAACTAAAAGGCATCACAACCTCTTTGACTTTGATGAGAATAAAACAGTACAGAGGTTTCCTGCTGTACGAAACAAATAATAGCAGAAATAGTAAGTGAAAAGAGAAACTTGAGAAGTGATCCATGCAAAAACTCAAGAAGATCAGAGCCATAATCTTTCTTCACAAGTGTATTAGAAAACCCATATATAGGGGGCATAATCTCTCCCTTTGGAAGGAGGTTATTGGATAACAAAGTTTCAGATTGGAGTATTTTCTTACATTATTATTCCTCTTACTCATCATGGTTTAGATTTGGGCCCCAAGCTTGTTGAATTCAAGTTTGCCTTGTTGGAAACTGCATCAATCAATCAGCTTTAAAATCTGAATTTATCAAATTTTCAGCCTTGATTAGAGTTATACTTAAGTCTACCTCTAATTGCAAACATTGGAGCCTCAAACTAAACACATCAACAGCCACCTCTGTTTCTACCAAATACACCAACAAACAAAAATTGAAGCTATATTCCCTGGGAGACTAACTCTTCTAAGAGGACATTCCCCACGCCAAATATGAAAATGTTGTCATGCCTAATGAGTGGCTAAATGATATGATAGGCTTTGGAACCTAAAATGAAGGCCATCTGTTGGGGCCCACAATCTTTTATCTACACAGATATTTTCATAATATTTTAGGTATACATAGATTTTTGTATACGTATTGATTTCTGATTTCGGTATTGTAGTTTGTTAATTCCTTGGTGCATTAGTTATCTCAACTTACATAAATATAGCCCGTGAGAAAACATTACTTGTAAAATATTCACCATTCAATTTTTAACATGTACTAGATATAAACTCAGCCAATCCAGCTTATTTTATTGGAAAACAACAACATTCACTTGTTGAATTTTGTCGTTGGAATGGTGAATCACAAAAACTGCTTCTTCGTAAACAGCTCCCTTTCACCAAGGTATTGTTTAATAAACTTTGACATTAAAGGTTCTATGGATCAAAAGGCTAAGTTTGTCATATGCAAATTTCAACCATATTCATGCAAACAAAAGCGACCATCAAACCAAATAGTAGAATCTTAATGTAATTAATCACTCTCAAATAGGTGAACTAAAGTAACTTGTATTTTTGCTTTTTGAGCATGCACCATCTAATACAAACACAACTGTCCTGTTAAATTAGATAAATGGCAGAAGCAATAAAGTAGTAAGTGAGTAGAGGAGGGTTAGGAGGCATAACATACTCCTCATATTGGCTGTGAACGGCAATAGTAGGAAATAAGGGACCCTTCACATCGTTAGACACTGTTCCCACTACCTCCCCATTTTTACTGGCATCAACAATATAAAACAGAGATTTATAAGAATTCTAATAAGAGTCAAAGAAACACCAAAAATAAATTAAATTAAATCAAATTAAATATAACTACACAAGAGTGAAACCACACTGCAGGTTCTCACGGTCATCAACAATCAAACCACTTACATACAAGACTAATTTCATGCAAAAGCAAGTTGAATGTCAAATATTGTCTTACGTGAAAAAGAATTCCTGTGAAGCATAGTTGATACCACTACCAACTGTATCACCAGTTGTAAATGTTGGGCCAAATGACTCTCCCTTTCCTTGCCCACGATAAAGAAATCCATCATCTCCATGATATCCATAACTGTTTGCTTCCCACCTGTTATTTAGAAGAATAGGACAGCAATTCAATTCACACCCACAGATTCTGGCTGCAAAATTTTAGTAAAAAGGAATTTAAAGGCGGAAGAAAAGGACAGCAAGTTCAATTCACACCCACCAATTCTGGCCACAATTTTAGCAGAAAAAAATTTTAAGGGACACTAGACAGCATTTGCAGCCATTCTCTCATATAATTTTGTCAAATAACAAGTATATTTAAAACTTAATTCCCAATATAATTTGACATCGAAAAGCTAGGAACCATGTAAACCACCAAATCTCATTTAATTTTCCATGATTTTTTATGCAGCCTCTTCGTGATGAGTTGGAGCCAGGCTCTTGGCTGTATAGCTCAACAAATGATCAATAAAGGGAAGTAGGGTTCCTGTGATAGACAGAACGAAACGTCCCTCACATGATCAATAAATGATCAAGATGGAGTGACTTGAATGGAGAGACAGGGAACAAACACCAATGTATATGTAGGTTGAATCCAAGAACCCCCCCTCAACTCAATTTAAGCTTTGATACCACGTTAAGTCATCAATTGTCCCAAAAGCTCGATTTGTTAACAAATGGATTCAACAATGTAAATAACAAGATGGCATCTTCTACGCCATCTACTATAATAAAAAGGTTCTGATGGGGCATGATAGCATCTTGAGAGCAATAGTTCAATTAGTACCAAAAGAAAGAAAGAAAAATAAAATAAAATAAAATATCACTTCCTTTTAAAATGGTAATGATTATAGTCATCCATCCTACTGATTGGTTTGGAAGAATAAAGTTCCCTGTCTCATCCGAAAAAAGAAAAGAAAAAGAAATGTGCTTATTGTCAAAGGATTGCATTTTTGCTCTCTTTCTACATGAGAGACACTATGTAAAAAATTATGGATATTATGTTATTATCTTGTAAGATAGCATGAAAAGTGCGAGGTTGAGAGTATATGGCGGGGGAGCTTTAGAGTTACGAATCGAACAAAAGCTTATTACCATTCAGATGGATGTTGAATCCAGAGGAGGTTCACTGGTGATCATTGAGAGGTATCGTCTCAGGAGTTACACTATGAAGATAGATTTGGGGGTGTTTCTTGGGCCATACAAGCTTTGCAATAGGTTTGGGGCCAACGCAATGATCGATCTTTCTTCTCCAAATACACGAGCAGTTCAGCAATTTTTTGGGTCCAGAAATTTTGTAACAAGGGTGGTGTCTTTGTTGAGATGTCAAAATGGGAAGCTGGGGCAAAACGAAACAACATTATCATTCCAGCAGTGGTTGATGGTTAGGGGTGGGAGGCAATGGCTAAGATGTTGGAACGAGTTATCTATGGAGACTCCAGGGTTACGAATGATGAAAGGGAGATAAGAACTACAGCCAAAGGAGGCCATAATAGAAGTAATCATTCTGTATTTAGTTCTTGCAGAAGAAACACAAATGGGAATAGATTTATTTCCCAAAAAAAAGGGACAAACAGAGGAGCTTCATATGCTGATGTGCTAAAGTCTAAATCAAGTAGTTTGGGTGGCTATAACTTCTTTTTGGAGATGCGCAAGGTGGTGGTGTGCACCAGAACTAACTTTTTCGATGGGTGGGCTCAGATTGAGAAGGAATTAAATCGATCGTTTAAAGCCTTAATTGTTCTAAGGCCTTTTCAATTAAACAAGGCTCTGTTTCTTGCATAAAGTACAGAGGAGGCTGACTACTATGGTGCTCAAGGAGTATGTTTCTTTCATAAAAGCATTGCTGTGCGACTGGAAAGCTGGTCGGAGGAGATGTTCAGTAAGGATAATGTCATCGCCTCAAATGGAGGTTGGATCTCTGTCTGCAACTTGCCTTTTAACCTCTGGAATGATAGGGTTTTCGAATGGATTGGGTCAAAGTGGGGAGGGTTGATAGAAGTGGATCGTAGAACCAGAAATTTCGAAAATCTTTTTGAGGCTAGATTGAAGGTTAAAGGCTATGGCAATGGGTTCTTACCTGCGAATGTTCATGTTCAGCTTGAGGAGATTTCTGTGGTTGTTCGATTGAAGGCTCTATCAAAGCCTGTCGGAAGAAGGGAGGTTCATCGGCAATGGAGGTTTTTAGGCGACTTCAGTGCCGGAGAAGTGGAAGGTGAGGCGTCTCAGGGGACAGGCTTGACACGTGGCAGGATGGAGATGAGAAGGCAGTTGGGTGATATGCTCGAGGGGGGCGCAGGTAATGGAGGAAGGGCAAGGGACAATAGGGGCAGTCAGTCTGGAGGTCTTAATTCTAATGGACCTGGTCTTAATTCTAATGGGCTTGGTCATGATGTGGGCTCATCTCATGATTTGTTAGCCTCTAGCAAGACTAATGATGCTGGTGGACTGGACCTCTTAAGCCCAAGTGATAGACAATTTTTTAAGGATAAGGATCCAGCTCTCACTGGGAGTCCAAATGCTGGTAAACATATCGACAGGGGCCCAAATTTTATTATAGGCCCAAGGGCTGCTCTTTCCAACCTGACTGAGGATTTGGGGCTGGAGTCCGATCGGGTTAATGGTTATGAAGAAGAGGAGGGTCTTCGACGATGCTTAGCGATGAAGGAGCCAAGTCGATTACCACCATGCAACGTCCCAGAATCAGACGATCGTGATGTACAAGTTTTTGTCCCCCATTTATAGAGAGCTGAATACAAAGGAAGCCCTATTAGGGTTGGCAGATGTGGTTGACAGGTCCAATGGGGATTTTCATAAATTAAATGGGACGTCAAAGGAAGGGATTGAGGATTTAATGGAGGTTATAAGGGCCTCGGAAAAGCAGATTCATGAGGTGGATGAGGGCCATTTCGAGATACACGAGGTATTGCAAAATCTGGAGGAGTATGGATCATCTTAATGGAGGTTATAAGGGCCTCGGAAAAGTAGATTCATGAGGTGGATGAGGGCCATTTCGAGATACACGAGGTATTGCAAAATCTGGAGGAGTATGGATCATCTGCAAGTTCGGAAACGAAGTCAGATGTGGAAATTAGTGAGGGTGAGCAAGATGATAATGGCTGGGATCTCAATCGTTTTTTTAATGCAGATTGTACCATTGGGGGTGAGGATATCAGTAAGGTTTCTGCAGCTCTATATCAGGTCAGTCCTTCCTTAACCCAAGGTTTAATAGTTTCGTCTTTGCATGAGGGGATACAAGCTATTCCAAACTCTTCCTTTACTGGGGATAGGGCTCGGGGTGGGCTGTCTGTGGTTCATCAGTTCAATTCCTTTTGTCCTATTCATGAAGTTTCATTAGTTGACGCTGTTGTACAAGGGGTTACTGCTGAAATCCCAAGGGCCACTGTGAATGAGTCTATCATAGTGTCTGAGTCCTTACATGCTAATATAGCTCAAGGTCAGGTGAATGATAATCAGTGTGGGAGTTTCGAAAATCATTCTGACAAGGGGGGCCAAGTTTTTAGTGAAGGGAAGGAAGAAACGGAGAGATGGTTGCATGAGTTGAGCAAGTATGAGACGTGCCCAATTGAGGAGAGTGAGATTCCTCATTTTTTGCAATTACTTCAGGTCATGGGGTTGTCATTGATTAAAATTAAGGGCACGTTTGGGCCTTTTAGGATGAGTAAAAGGTCCACGAGTGAGAATAGTAAAAAGGGGGTAAGGGAATTACAGAATTTAGCAAGTTCAGTTAATTATGAGAGGAGACTAGAGGCGGTTAGGGGAGGAAATGTTTCCCAATGAAGATCATTAGTTGGAATGTAAGGGGCTTGGGTTCTCGAAAAAAGAGGAGTGTTATCAAGGATTTTCTTAAGAGTCATCAACCGGACATAGTTGTTTTGCAGGAATCTAAAGTAGAAGTGTGTGAGAGCAGGTTTATGCAAAGTCTTTGGGGTGCTAGACATAGGAGATGGGTGTGTTTGCCTGCAATTGGTAGATCAGGGGGAGTTGTGATAGTGTGGAATGACAGAATGGTTTCTAAGTGTGAAACTATAATGGGGGAGTTTTCGCTATCAGTTAGGTTTAGGAACTTAGACAATTCGGAGTGGTGGTTGACAGGGGTTTATGGCCCTAACAGGCCTTCTAGGAGAAAGGATTTTTGGGAGGAGTTATTTGGATTATTTGGGTTGTGTTCACCAAACTAGTGTTTAGGAGGGGATTTTAATGTGGTTAGGACGATCTCAGGAAAACTTAATGGGATTAGAATCACTAGGGGGATGAGAGATTTTGATTCGTTTATACGAGAGTGTGAGCTGGTGGATCCTCCTTTGTGTAATACTGGATTTACTTGGTCAAATCTTCAAGAGAATTTGATGTGTTGCAGATTGGATAGATTTTTATATTCTTTGAGGTGGGACGGGGTTTTTCCCAATTTAAGACAAGAATCGCTACCTAGATTAGTTTCAGATTACTGTCCTATTGTGCTTGAAAGTTGTCCATTAAAATGGGGTCCGGTGCCTTTTAGATTTGAGAACATGCGGCTAGAGCATGCATGTTTTAAGCAAAATTTTGAGGAATGGTGGACCAATGCTAGTTGTCATGAATGGGAAGGTTTTAAATTTATGAGAAAGTTGAAGATTGTCAAGGAGAATGTTTAGTGCTGGAATAGGGAGGTGTTTGGAATTTTGGAATCTTCAAAGAAGGAGGTGATGAGCAGAATTATTGAGTTTAGATGAATTGGAGGCGCTAGGGGGTTTAGTTGAGTCATTAAGGAGAGAAAGATTCGAGTTTAGATTGAAATTGGAGGAGTTGACTTTTAGGGAGCAAGTTTCTTGGGCTCAAAAAGTAAAGATCAAATGGTTAAAGGAATGAGATGTTAGTTCAAAATTTTTTCACAAGGTTGTAGACGGGAAAAGGAAGAAGTTCATCAAGAGATTGGAGGTAAGCCCAGGGGTTGTGGAGGACAGGGAGAATCAGATTGTCAGTAGCATTTATGATTTTTATTCTCAACTTTATTCGAAGGAAGAGGTGAGTAGACTAGGGATTGAAGGACTAGAATGGGGAATCATTGAACCGGAAATTGCAACATGGCTTGAAAGGCCTATTGATGAAACAGAAATTCGAGAGGCGGTCTTTGAATATGAAAGAGACAAAGCTCCAAGCCTGGATGGTTTTTCTATGGCCATCTTTCAGGATTGCTGGGAGGTGGTGAAAGGAGATTTGTTGAGGGTGTTTTTGGAATTTCACAAGTCGGGGGTGGTTAATTTGAGTTCAAATGCCACATTCATTTGTTTAATTCCTAAGAAAGAGAATGCTATCAGAATTAGAGATTTTAGGCCTATTAGTTTGGTAACATCACTATATAAGATTTTGGGAAAGGTTTTATCAAAACGACTAAGGATGTCTTTAGGGGATACCGTGTCTAGGGCGCAGGGGGCTTTTGTGAAAGGAAGACAAATTTTAGATGTTGCCTTAGTGGCAAATGAAGTTGTGGAGGAATATAGAAATTCAGGGAGGGTGGGTCTTATTTTTAAGATAGATTTTGAAAAGGCATATGACCATGTGGATTGGCAATTTTTAGATTTTGTAATGGACAAGAAAGGATAAGGTGCGTGGTGGAGATCTTGGATTAGGGGTTGTTTGTCAACTTGCAATATGTCAATCATAGTTAATGGTAAGCCAGGGGAATGCTTTAGGGCTTCGCGGGGACTTCGACAATGGGACCCACTCTCTCCCTTTCTTTTTATCTTGGTGGCTGATGTACTGGGTAGGATGGTCGATAGAGCTAAAGTAACAGGTATTTTTGAGGGATTGGAGGTGGAGAGGGATAGAGTTAGTGTAACTCATTTACAATATGCGGATGATACTATATTTTTTTCTTCAAGAGATGATAATCAAATAGTTAATCTTTATTCGATTTTGAGAATTTTTGGTTGCTTTCGGGGCTCAAGATTAATTTGGAAAAAAATAGCGTGGTGGGAATTAATATGCAGCAAGATCAACTTCAGAATAAGACGTCTCTTTTAGGATGTGGTATAGAGGCACTTCCGTTTAAGTATTTAGGTCTTCCATTGGGGGGTAATCCTAGGAGTGAAGTTTTTTGGTCTCCAGTGGTGGAAAAGATTGGCAAGAGATTGGAAGGATGGAGTAAGGCTTTATTATCACGAGGGGATAAATACACTTTGGTTAAGACTGTTTTGAGTGGAATTCCTATTTATTATTTATCTTTGTTTAAGGTTCCGATTAAGGTGGCAAGGTTAATAGAAAAGTTGATGAGGGATTTTCTTTGGGAAGGTAAGGATGAGGGGAAAAAGGATCACTTGGTGAATTGGGAGGTAATGTCGTTACCTAAGGAGAACGGGGGTTTGGCTATAGGTAATATTGTGGCTAGGAACTTGGCCCTTCTTGGCAAGTGGTTATGGAGATTTCCACTTGAAACTAATTCACTATGGCATTCGGTTATAAGAAGCAAATATGGGACTCAAGACAATGAAAGGGATTCACGAGTGGTTTTGAGGGGTAGCTGTCGTGCTCCTTAGAAGTCAATTTCTCAAATTTTCACATGCTGGTCCCAACACCATTCTGTAAGGGTGGGCAATGAGGAAATTGTTCGATTTTGGGAGGATGTTTGGATGGGTCAATCTTCTTTTGAAGCCGATTTCCCGCATCTATATCGAGTGGCTCGTTCTCATAATTCTTCAATTGCTTCCATAGCTTGCTCACTTTTGGCTCCAATCTCTTGGAATTTTGATTTTTCTAGGAATCTTAATGATAGGGAGGCTTCACAACTGATTTCTTTATTATCCAGAATTGATCAATTTTCTTTATCTCCTCTTTTGGAGGATAAGAGGATTTGGACTCTTCATTCGTCCGGAATATTTTCTTGTAAGTCTTTTTTTGATTACATCATTGATAATCCTCAAGCTCCATAGTTTTCTTTTTGCAAAAGAGTTTGGAAGGCTTCTGCTCCCTTAAAGGTGAAGGTGTTCATGTGGGCCTTGGTTCATGGAGACATTTTGACAAATGATACATTGCAGAAAAGGAGACCTAATCGAGTTCTAAATCCTCAGTGGTACATTCTGTGTTGTAAGAACGGGAAGTCCGTGGATCATTTATTCTTGCATTGTCCAATAGCTTTGAATTTATGGCATAGATTATTTTCTTTGGGAAATGTTACGTGGGTTGCCCTAAAGGGAGTGCGCATATGCTCCTTGTTAATTTTCGCACATTTGGAGGATCGAAGATAGCCAAAATTTTATGGTGTTGTGCCATCTTTGCAATTTTTTGGGTTCTATGAATGGAGCGAAATCAGAAGTTGTTTGAAGAGAAGTCTCGGGAGGTGGGCTGTTTGCGGGATCATGTTTGTCACTTATCTTCTTTTTGGGCGTCAGGGAACTCTTTATTTAAAGGAGTCCCACTTTTTTTGTTAGCTAGAGATTGGTTGGCAGTGTGTGCTATGTAGGCTTTTGCACATGTTTAGCTTGTTACGGGTTCTTTTTGTGTTTGTATTCTCTTTGTCCTTTGTAAAAGGATGCCTTATCCTCTTTTCCTTTTTTGATTTATCAATAAAGCTTTTGTTGTTGATGAAAAAAAATAAATAAAAAAAGTTCCCTGTCTGAAATGTCAATAGGGCCCATTAGAGAGTGAATAGAATAGAAATTTGTCAAGCTATCAAACTCTATAAAACCCACTACCAAATATTATGTTCTGTAAATTTAATAGCAATAAGGATTGATCGTACATTTATTGTAGAATTTCCTATTATGTATGCAAAAGCTTTACAGTTTTTGTGGCCATTAATTTGGTGGCTCCTTCAGAAACACAGCTCTTAGAAATACTTTTCGGCTCATCCCACGACCCGCGACCCACAAATTAATAGGGACCAGCAATAAGGAATGGTCTCTTACTTAGCTATAGACCTCTTCACCGATGAATTCTAAGGAGTTACACATAAATCGACACACATGATTGGGCCCCATTTTGATCTTGTTACATTCAAGTTGTGGAAGTTTTTTTATGTTGGAGCAACCTGCTCTGCATAGAGTTGATCTCAACTTTGAAGATTGGTGCTAGGGAAACACGAAAAGATAATACTCGGGGAATCTTAAAAGAACATGATAACCTCACTTTTTTCAGACGAGTAGTGGCAAGTTTTGTCACTTAAGCAAAGATGTATTCCAGGTCACAGAGCTACCAAGAAGTCACTTCGAATGGGATTCAACCTTGTTGAGGTTAAATGTTTCATTGTCATAGAATGGCTGAAATCCAATTCTCCACATCCTTGCCATTATGGCAATTCAGAGGTGAAGTTTTTATATCTCTGTCAATCTACCTCTTTTGAGAAGGAGATAAGAGTTGGGTCCACAATCTGGCTAAGAAAGAGATGATTCCTCAACCACAAGGTTGGTGAACACCTTATAATCCTTCTATGGGCCATCTTTATAGCGTGTTGAACTAGTTTGCCATTGTCTTTGCACTCTATTGAGTTTAAATTTGCCTCTGATAAGGATTGCCTTCCCTCATTTTTTTCCCCCCTCCTTTTTGCTCATCTTGCAAAGCATGCCTCATTCTTAAAAAGGGCCATTGACTAGCTGGCCCTTTTTAAAATAAAAACTCAACTAAAAAGTTCAATGCACATAAACAAAAACTTAGAGATGCATAATATGCTTATGCAATTAACAAAAGAAAATTGGAAACTCAACTAAAGCAGCTAAATTCCAAATGTGGGTGGTTTGGTAGGACAAGTCTAGTCTAGGTTTGCCAGAGCCAATTTAAGTTTTAAACTGAATTTTCAAATATAAAAATGCCAATTGATTAAGCTTTCAAAGTTAAAAATCTTGTATCAATATTATCGAAATTTAACTTCCAAAACTGGTTTGCATTGTGTTGCGTCCGTATACACTAATGCAATGTAATGTAATGAAATGCAACAAAACTAGAGTTTATTAAAAAAATAATAATAATAAATAAATAAACCAATACTTGGTAGAAATTGAATTTCATTGAATTGAAGAATTGGGACAGGTGTGAAGAAGAATATGGTTTTACCCGGGTTGCCTGCGCATCTTGAAACCCTCGGTGGTGAATCCGATGGCAGTCTGGCCCTTGGCGCCAGCGTTCTTGACGTAAATCTCGAAGTAGTAGACAAGGCGCTTCACAGGGGCGGGACGATTGGCCTGGACAACTCCAACATCATGACCGTGCAAGTTCACATTTGTGTATTGCACAGAGAGCTTGTCTGGAAACACATTCAAGAAACCACCGTAGGTGTTGATCGTGTTGAGCTCCGTCGGAGACTCCTCCTCGGCCTCCTCCTCCACCTCCATCTCCATCGAAGCCTTGGAATTGTGCTTCCATAGCTCCAGAAAGTAGGAGCCTATGCGGTCTTGATGATTGTTCACCATTTATGCCTACACCAAGAACCCTAGATTTTGATTAGAAGAAAGTGAAGGTGTAAGTAAAAGCCCTAGAGATCGATTTGAAAAGCTTTTAACAAGTTTGTTCGTGTGTTTGACAGAGTTCGTGATTGATGAGCATTTGATTTGATGCGGAGAGAGAGAGAGAGAGAGAGAGAGAGATGCAAGAAAGAAAGGAAGGCTTCCTTTCTTGAGGGTTGAGTGAACGGTGATGATTATTATTTAACTACACGTTAATATGCCAGCTCCATTTCGTCCAACCCCTAATTGGGGCTTTTCTCAAATAAATCAGTAATTTATTTCTCAAATTAGGTTTAGTTTGGACGTAAATTAAGCTAAAGTATTATTACAAATCATGTTTTTACTGTTTTCAGGTCTCTCTCGCAAAAAATTTGTGAAATAGTAAAAGCGTGATTAAAATCACGCTTTAATTAAGAAGACGTGGTTACAAACCACGCTTTTAAGTTAATCATAAAACATGATTTCAAACTACGCTTTTAAATATGCATTTTTTTTTTTAAAAAAAATGTGATTTCTAACCACGCTTTCACTGTGTTGTGAAGAAAGCGTGGTTAGAAAGCACGCTTTCAAACACACACACTCACAAACACTCACTCACTCTGTCTCTCACTCTGACACAAACACACACGACTCACGCTCCCACTCAATATATATATAAATTTTAATATATATTTATAATTTAATATATATATATATATAAATTTTATTTCATAAAATTGAAATCAATATTAAATATATATAATAATAATTTATAATAGCAAATAATAATCAATTATATAAAATGATTACTTTTTTATTTTAATTCTTAATTTTTTTTATTTTATTGTTTAGGGATAAAATTTCTTTTTTTTATTTTAGGGTTTGAGGTTTAATTTTTAAATTTTTTTTTTATTTTAGGGTTTAGGATTTATAAATAAATAAATAAATTTTAAGAATTAAATTCTAAATTCTAAACCCTAAATCCTAAACTCTAAAATAAAAATAAATAAATTTTAAGAATTAAACCCTAAACCCTAAAATTGAATATATTTAACAATTCCTCACTATCTCCCTCACTACTAATCCCCTCACTATCAATCCCCTCACTAACAATCCCCTCATTTATTAATCCCCTCACTATCAATCCCCTCCATTCTATCTCTGAAAACAAACGACCCTCACTAACAATCCCCTCACTATTAATCCCCTCACTATCAATCCCCTCCATTCCATCTCTGAAAACAAACGGGGCCTTAAGGCCCCGTTTGTTTTGGTTATAGCAAGGGACTAGGTATTACTAACCTTGGGATTAGTATATGGGGTGTTGTTTTTGAGAGATAGCCTTGGGACTATTAATACCTTGGGACTAACTAATACCTTGGTATTACTAATACCTTGTTTGTTTTGAGAGATAGGGAGGGTACTACTAATACCTTGGTATTACTAATACCCTTGGGAGGGGATTCATAGTGAGGAGGTAGAGATGGTATTAGAAAAATAGTGAGGGATTAGAAATTTTTTTATTTTTTATTTTTTATATATTGGAAATTTTTTTAAAATATAATTTTAATTTTTTATATTTTTATTTGTTTTATTATTTTATATAAAAATAATTTAACAATTCTTCACTACTAATCCCCTCACTATCAATCCCCTCACTACTAATCCCCTCACTATACATCCCCTCACTAACAATCCCATCATTATTAATCCTTTCATAAAATCCCATCATTATTAATCCCCTCACTATCAATCCCCTCCATTTTATCTCTGAAAACAAACGACTCTCACTAACAATCCCCTCACTATTAATCCCCTCACTATCAATCCCATCCATTTCATCTCTGGAAACAAACGGCCCTAAAATAAAAAAATAAATTTTATCTCTAAACAATAAAATAAAAAAAATAAGAATTAAAATAAAAAAGTAATCATTTATATAATTGATTATTATTTGCTATTATAAATTATTATTATATATTATTAATATTGATTTCAATTTTAGAAATAAAATTTATATATATATATATATATAATTATAAATATATATATTAAAATTTATATTATAATTGAGTGGAGCGTGAGTCGTGTGTGTTTGTGCAGAGTGAGAGACAGAGTGAGTGAGTGTTGTGAGTGTGTGTGTTTGAAAGCGTGCTTTCTAACCAGCTTTCTTCACAACACAGTGAAAGCGTGGTTAGAAATCACATTTTTTAAAAAAAAAAATGCATATTTAAAAGCGTGTTTGAAATCATGTTTATGATTAACTTAAAAGCGTGGTTTGTAACCACGTCTTCTTAATTAAAGCGTGATTTTAATCAGCTTTTACTATTTCACAAATTTTCGAGAGAGACTGAAAACAGTAAAACATGATTTGTAATAATACTTTAGCCTTTAATTTCGTCCCAAACTAAACCTAATTTGAGAAATAAATTACTAATTTATTTGAGAAAAGCCCAATTAGGGGTTGGACGAAATGGAGCTGGCATATTAACGTGTAGTTAAATAATGATCATCACCGTTCACTCAACCCTCAAGAAAGGAAGCCTTCCTTTCTTTCTTGCATCTCTCTCTCTCTCTCTCTCTCTCTCTCCGCATCAAATCAAATGCCATCAATCACGAACTCTGTCAAACACACGAACAAACTTGTTAAAAGCTTTTCAAATCGATCTCTAGGGCTTTTACTTACACCTTCACTTTCTTCTAATCAAAATCTAGGGTTCTTGGTGTAGGCATAAATGGTGAACAATCATCAAGACCGCATAGGCTCCTACTTTCTGGAGCTATGGAAGCACAATTCCAAGGCTTCGATGGAGATGGAGGTGGAGGAGGAGGCCGAGGAGGAGTCTCCACGGAGCTCAACACGATCAACACCTACGGTGGTTTCTTGAATGTGTTTCCAGACAAGCTCTCTGTGCAATACACAAATGTGAACTTGCACGGTCATGATGTTGGAGTTGTCCAGGCCAATCGTCCCGCCCCTGTGAAGCGCCTTGTCTACTACTTCGAGATTTACGTCAAGAACGCTGGCGCCAAGGGCCAGACTGCCATCGGATTCACCACCGAGGGTTTCAAGATGCGCAGGCAACCCGGGTAAAACCATATTCTTCTTCACACCTGTCCCAATTCTTCAATTCAATGAAATTCAATTTCTACCAAGTATTGGTTTATTTATTTATATTATTATTTTTTAATAAACTCTAGTTTTGTTGCATTTCATTACATTACATTGCATTAGTGATAACGGACGCAACACATGCAAACCAGTTTTGGAAGTTAAATTTCGATAATATTGATACAAGATTTTTAACTTTGAAAGCTTAATCAATTGGCATTTTATATTTGAAAATTCAGTTTAAAACTTAAATTGGCTCTGGCAAACCTAGACTAGACTTGTCCTACCAAACCACCCACATTTGGAATTTAGCTGCTTTAGTTGAGTTTCCAATTTTTCTTTGTTAATTGCTAAGCATATTATGCATCTCTAAGTTTTTGTTTTGTGCATTGAACTTTAGTTGATTTTATTTTAAAAAGGGCAAGCTAGTCAATGGCCCTTTTTAAGAATGGGCATGCTTTGCAAGATGAGCAAAAAGGAGGGGGAAAAAAATGAGGAAGGCAATCCTTATCAGAGGCAAATTTAAACTCAATAGAGTGCAAAGACAATGGAAACTAGTTCAACACGCTATAAAGATGGCCATAGAAGGATTATAAGGTGTTCACCAACCTTGTGGTTGAGGAATCATCTCTTTCTTAGCCAGATTGTGGACCCAACTCTTATCTCCTTCTCAAAAGAGGTAGATTGACAGAGATATAAAAACTTCACCTCTGAATTGCCATAATGGCAAGGATGTGGAGAATTGGATTTCAGCCATTCTATGACAATGAAACATTTAACCTCAACAAGGTTGAATCCCATTCGAAGTGACTTCTTGGTAGCTCTGTGACCTGGAATACATCTTTGCTTAAGTGACAAAACTTGCCACTACTTGTCTGAAAAAAGTGAGGTTATCATGTTCTTTTAAGATTCCCCGAGTATTATCTTTTCGTGTTTCCCTAGCACCAATCTTCAAAGTTGAGATCAACTCTATGCAGAGCAGGTTGCTCCAAATAAAAAAACTTCCAACAACTTGAATAGAACAAGATCAAAATGGGGCCCAATCATGTGTGCGATTTATGTGTAACTCCTTAGAATTCATCGGTGAAGAGGTCTATAGCTAAGTAAGAGACCATTCCTTATTGCTGGTCCCTATTAATTTGTGGGTCGTGGGTCGTGGGATGAGCCAAAAGTATTTCTAAGAGCTGTGTTTCTGAAGGAGCCACCAAATTAATGGCCACAAAAACTGTAAAGCTTTTGCATACATAATAGGAAATCTACAATAAATGTACGATCAATCCTTATTGCTATTAAATTTACAGAACATAATATTTGGTAGTGGGTTTTATAGAGTTTGATAGCTTGACAAATTTCTATTCTATTCACTCTCTAATGGGCCCTATTGACATTTCAGAAGGGAACTTTTTTTATTTATTTTTTTCATCAACAACAAAGCTTTATTATAAATCAAAAAAGAAAAAGAGATAAGGCATCCTTTTACAAAGGACAAAGAGAATACAAACACAAAAAGAACCCGTAACAAGCTAAATGTGCAAAAGCCTACATAGCACACACTGCCACCCAATCT